AAGGCTTGATAAAAGCAAATAAATTGACATCATAGAATGTTTTAGGTTGGAAGAGACCTTAAAGACCATCTAGTTCCAACCCCCATACCACAGGAAGGGACATCTTCCGCTAGACCAGGGTGCTTAAGGCCCTGTTCAAACTGGCCTTGAACACTGCCAGGGATGGGGCAGCCACAGCTTCTCTGGACAACCTGTGCCAGCGCCTCACCACCCTCACAGTAAAGAACTTTATCCTAATATCTAATCTAACTCTACCCTCTTTCATTTTAAAGCTATTCCCCCTTGTCCTTTCACTACAGTCCCTAATGAAGAGTCCCTCCCCAGCATCCCTATAGGCCCCCTTCAGATACTGGAAGGCTGCTATGAGGTCTCCATGCAGCCTTCTCTTCTCCAGGCTGAGCAGCCCCAACTTCCTCAGCCTGTCTTCATACGGGAGGTGCTCCAGTCCCCTGATCATCCTCATGGCCCTCCTCTGGACTTGTTCCAACAGTTCCATGTCCTTTCTATGTTGAGGACACCAGAACTGCACACAATACTCCAGGTGAGGTCTCACAAGAGCAGAGTAGAGGGGCAGGATCACCTCCTTCGACCTGCTGGTCACACTCCTTTTGATGCAGCCCAGGATACAGTTGGCTTTCTGGGCTGCAAGTGCCACTTCTGGGTAATGTTCAATTTCTCACAGAGTAACACCCCCAGTTCCCTCACCTTAGGCCTGTTCTCAATCCATTCTCCACCCAGCCTGGGTTTATGCTTGGGATTGCCCTGACCCAGGTGTAGGACTTTGCAGGGTATATAGGAAATAGTAATGCAGGAGCACCCCAGAAGGCTTATATTGATGACTAATACACTCAAGCATATCGAGAGGACAATTTTCTAAGTAAGTGGCTAGAGAGAGGTTTTTAAATATTTTTTCTAATAGATGCTGCTCAACGTAGAGTGAATAAGTCAAAACCAATGTGTCTTACACTGGAGAGAAAGAAGCAGATGTGATTTGGTCTCCAGCTGTGAAGGGAGTTAATTTCAACATTTTCACTCAACAGCAAAGGATTTTTGTCTCCTGTGTGGATGAAAAATATCCTTTTGATAAAGCATCTAAAAACTAGAGGTGTCAACCAAAGCCATCATTATCACTGAACTTCGGCAACCTTTTAAAGAAGCAATGACAACTCAGTCATGAGCACCTTCCAGATAAGTCAGGGTAGCCTTAATTTTACTTAATATAACCTAGGAAATGAGAATAAGCTTAAAATCCTGAACATGTTTTCTCTGCCCACCAGCATAACCACTACCTTGCTTGTACTTAGCTTCAAAAGGCTACTCTTCATCCAAGGGCTGCCGTCATCCTACTACAACAATTTCCTCATGGGAATAATGAGCTGGTACACAACAGAAGATACATAGGACTGTGTTATTCTTCAGTCTGGTGCTTGAGCCTGGACTGGACTCTGCTGTAGCTGAATGCAGAAACTTAGTGGGAGTGATGGAGACAGCTGATCTTCACAAATGTGGCGGAGACTTGTAGTGGAGAGATCTCCCACCTCAATTGTATCTCTCCCAGTAGTATATAAACATTTTGGCCCATATCTGCCCCCTCTCTCTGTAGCTTACTGAGCCTAATATTGCAAGAAAACCCAGAATGGAAGTCTTCCATCTCCCACAGTCAGGAAAACAATGAATTAAAAAAGAAACCTTTGCTACTGTTAATGAGAACAATCAGCTCTCGAGTCATGACTTTTGGCTACACTTCTGCCACACTTCTGCAAGTTATCAGTGTAACTGTAACTCTGCAACAACAGAACTAAGTTAGACATCACTGAAATCATGAGGCTTCCAGCAATGACTGTGTGACACTGCTCCACTGCAGTCAATGACCAGAAAAGATGCCATGGTTTGAAGACCTCTGGAAGAGGTGGCAGCGTCTTCAGGAGGCATTATCCAAGACTCTCTGAAAGTCATTCTGTGAAAGGAACTGGCTGATGTGACTTAGAGATGCTTCATGGGCATGTGGAAGCTTACAGTGCCTGAGCCGTTCCAGGTACCAGAGCAGCAGGACAGATGACTGGGTTTTGTCTCTACTTTGTCTTTCATCAATGTGCGTAAATGTAATGCTGTCTTCAAACAGCTTCATGACTCTGTAAGAAGCAAAGCAAGTAGCCCCAGAGCAGTGTGCCTGGGGCATTCATGTGAGTTTTCTGCATGGCCTAAATATTTGAAATGCACTATTTAATGTACATAAGGCTCAGGCCTTCCCTGTGAAAAAGTATTACAGGTACTGCGAAGTCTGGCAGGCCGAATAGAGGGAGCTGCTGCAACCAGTGTGTAATGTAACCTGGAAAGCAAGCAGGCTGTGCTCACAGGCTTGTGAAATAACCAATAATGTCAGGGATGTCCCTTCAGCACTGGTGAGGCTGCACCTCAAATCTTGAGTTCAGTTCTGGGCCCCTCACTACAAGAGAGACATCGAGGTGCTGGAGCAGGTCCAGAGAAGGGCAACGGAGCTGGTGAAGAGCCTGGAGCACAAGTGTGATGAAGAACGGCTGAGGAAACTGGGGTTGATAGTTTGGAGAAGAGAAGGCTCAGGGGGGACCTTATCACACTCTACAAATACGTGAAAGGAGGACGGAGCAAGGTGGCTGGTCTCTTCTCTCTAGTAACAAGCAATAGGACAAGCAGTAACACCCTCAAGCTGCACCAGGGGAGATTTAGATTGGATATTAGGAAAAAATTTCTTCACCAAAAAAGTTAAGGACTGGAACAGGGTGCCCAGGGCGGTGGTGGAATCACGGTCCCTGGAAGTGTTCAAAAACAGTGTAGATGTGGCACTTCGGGACACGGTTTAGTGGTGGACTTGGCAGTCCTGGGGTAACAGCTAGACTCCACGATCCTTTGCAACCTAAATGACTCTGCTTCTATGGCTCGGACTACAGGAACTGTACACTGTACTACAACACTGTAGCACATGCTACCTCAACGCTGCTGCCTGCTGCGGGACCCCAGCCCTCTCCCCGAGTCGAACAGCCGCTGCCGATGCCGGGGAACCCCAGCACCCCCAACCCGGACGTCTGAGCTCCGCCCTGCCCTGAAACCCGCCTTGGGACTTCCAGGGAGCACCGAGAGCGAGGACGAGCGGGTGTCAGCCCGCTGCCCCCTCGGCTCGGCCTGTTGCTCCCCCCCCGCCACCAGGGGCCAGCCCGGCCAGACAAGGAGCTGCTCTCCTGCCGCCGCAGCCGGTTCCTAACGCGCCTCTGGGCTCGTCACGGCGGGCGGGCAGCCCTGGCTACGGCAGGAGGCGGCAGCTCTCCCCGCCCGCGGTAGGCCCCGCCCACAGGTCTGCCCGCACTACGTGTCCCGGCGTGCCGCGGGGGAGCCGCCGGCGGAAGCGGAACGGTGTTTAGTGCTGTTTCCTGTGCTGTGGCGGTGGTGGGTGGTTGGAGGTGTGCGGAAGGTAACCACTGCGCCGTGGTAGCGGGCGGTCGTTGTTCCCGCCGGGCTCGGCTCTTGAGCTGCGCGCCGGGAGAACGCTGCTGTCCGCGGATCAGGCAAGGCAGACAGGAGGCGGGCGGGCTAGGGCAAGGCTGGGCCCCGCCGCGCAGCCCACCCTGGTTTTTGTCGTTAGTGAGCGTGTGGGCTCGGCTGAAACAGGGGCGTGGCAAGGCAGGCCTCTGAAATGAGGCAGGGGAACAGGGCTCGTGTGCTTGCAGAGGGGTTAAATTGCCGTGGTTTGTAGTCTCTGCTAGAATCTTCAGGGTCAGGTTGGTAGGGACTTCTTTGGTCTAGTGGGAGGTATCCCTGCATATGGCAGGGGGTTGGAACTCGGTAATACTTTAAGTTCCTTCCAGCCCAAATTATTCTATGGTTCCGTTTAATAGCCTGCAGATCTGGTTTTATAATGGGCACTCATTTGCTTGCTATAACAGATTAATGACTTTTTTTTTTAAGCTAATAATTATTAATAGAAGTGTCAGGATTTGTACTGCTGCTTACTGCTGACAGCCCTTTAAGGGTTTAATGTGTGCTGTCTCGGGGGCAGGAGCACCCCGATTTGAACTGTCCTTGAGGCCAGGCCTTGAGGCAAGGCCAAGGACAGGCAGGTGTCACAGCCCGTTCTGGAACAAGGTGGTCCAGAGCCACCCCATTTCTCACACTTTTTTGTTAATGAGCTTCAAAAGCAAGTCGTGAGCAGTGCTGCAGGCACTGGGTTAGTGTTCTGTAGATTCAGCAGCACTTGTCAGCGGTAAAGAAAATGATGAACAGTTAGTTGCTGCAACTGTAAAGTGCACACTTTTGGTAATGTTCTGAAGCACTAAATATGAAGTAGTTTTAAAGAGGTCTCCTTTCTTGTTTATATTTTTATGAGTGTTTCTGAACTGTCTCCAATTATGTGCTTTTTAGACATCAGTTTACATTCCTCTTCAAAACAATTCCCCCCCCCCCCCCCCCCCCCCGTAGCAAATGAAAACTTAAGATGTTTATGTGTCTTTCTCCTTCTGGGTAACATTTGAGGTATTCTAAATGGTATTTTGTAGCTTTTAAGTGTATAGCTTTTGAGATGGATGAAGGCAGCATCATCTAGCCAGTTTGTAACTACAGCAAGTGTTGAGGATAAGTACTTCTATTTTTATACTGGGTGATGGTATTTACATCTCAAACATGGTTTGGGAATAATTCTGTGGAATACGCAGAGGGAAGGATGCAAAACTTAAGTGTTAGTATAAAAACTGAGGAGACCAAAGCTTGGAAACCTTTTTTATAACAGTGATGATGTACCTTCAAAGAGTACCTCTCAGCAAATAAAGTCTTGTTCCGCATTGACTGTTAAGGAGGCAGGTGTGAGTATCTTAAGTAAAGGACTTCTAAACCACTGATAAATAATGAAGAATCTACTGCACACATTTTATTTACCTTTATGATATTCAAGAAATTAAAATGTTTGGCTTTTCTACCCTGAACAGCTTTGAAATTGTTTTTTTTTCAGAGGGTATTCTGCAGGAAAAAAGGTTATGGTCCATTTGAGTTCCATCTTGTCCAGGACTGGTTTCTTCTCTGCTGCCAGGATGGCAACATTACTTAGAACTGTGTGCCCCAGCCTCTTCTGGATGCGTTCAGTAGCAGCTTGTAAGCAGGCCCCGCTGCAGAGTAAGTAGTGATGAAACTGTAGAAATCCTGTATTAAAATTTGTTCTTCGAGAACCTCTTTCCTGTGCTGCTTAAAGTAATGGAAGTGTGGAAGTCAATTTTTATTTGAACACAGTCAAGTCTGATATTCCATCTTCTCTGCTGATAATTAAAGGGGATCTTGTTTTGGCTTTTTTTCCTCTTAAAGCTTCTGTGGTCCACATATGGTGCTTCTCTAATTTATTAATTTGCTTGTAAATACCACTGCTCTTACCACTGTGTTTGATTTTAATTAAATTTAAATCTATTTTTTTTTTAAATGGTGGTGAGAAAAAAAGGCTACAGCAAGATCTCATTACTCAATATAAACAGCAAAGTGAAAACAGGCAATGTTATTTCTTACCTTTTTATGTGTGTTTTGGGTGTCAATAGGTAGATGCAGTGGAGGTAGTAAAGGCTATAGAAAAGACAGGAACTGAGAAAATATAATGGACATGTTACATTTTAGAGGTTAGTGGGCAAGGAGGAGAAAGAAATCTTAGGAAGAATCCTAGGAAGAGATACGAACTATTTGCAGCAATATCTTGACAGAGCTTTATGATCTTAAAAGTATCTTTTAACTTAAATGATTCTATGAAAAAATGGAAATGGAATTGTGGGAAAACTCAGAAGAGACTTTGGGTGGTGTGTGATCCAACTTCCCACTGGGAGCAGGCTCAGCTCTGCAGTCACACCAGGTTGCTCAAGGCCTCGTCCAGCTTCGCCTTTGAAGTCTCCAAGAGTAGAGATTGCACAAGCCTGGCTGGGCCCCAGTCCCACTGTGCCTGGCTGGCCTTATGAGGAAAATGTTTCTCTGTGTATCCAGCCAGAGCCTCTCGTTTCAACTGAGGGTGGGGTTTCATGTCCTTCCACTGTGCACCACTGAACAGACTGGCTCCCTCACCTCAGTAACCCCAACTGTCATAAACAGTCACTGCAGGCTACTTCTGGGTTTCCCCAAAGCTGCCTCTGCTTCAGGCTAAGCCAGCTCCCATCCCTCAACCTCTCCTTGCAGAGCAGGTGCTGCAGCCCTGACTATCTAGGTGGGCCTTTGTTGAACTTGTGCCAGTTCATCTTTTATTAAAGGACTCCAAACTGGTCATAGGGCCCAGATGTGGTATAATAGGTGCTGAGCAGAGGGAGAATCCCATCCCTCCATCCACTTAGTACAGTCCTGGATGCTTTTGGCTTTCTTTACTACTTGTAATTTACTAGTGATTTCTTTGCCTGGAGTGGAGCTGCAGGAACCTGAGGAAAAGGGTAAAGTTCTCTGGGATTACTGCAACCAAGACATGATAGTTTTGTGTTTTGTATAGCACATATAGAAGTCACCAGTGAAGTAAAAATTAGATTTTTTTTTTATATAATAAATATTGCTATGAATGAAATTATGATCATGCATGTAAGTCATAAGGTAATGTTCTTTGCACATATAAAGAATATGCTCAAATGATCAAATCTGTAGGTATTTTGTTCATACTGTGGTTTTCCTTAGGAAAACAGTACAACTGGAAAGGTAAATGTAGACCATAGCTACCTATATACTGTATTTTTTTTACTACACTATAAATCTGTGCAGTAAAGTGAATGTCTGTTTAGAAAGTATTTGGGTTTTGTTAATTGAAAACTGACAATGATTATAATCCCCAATTCAGACTTAGAATGAAAATGTAAACATTCTTAAACTTGGCACAGCTCTGCTTGGTTTTACATGTAGTGTTTTGTTTTGGTGTTTTTTGTGGGTTTTTTTGCAGATGGAGTTGTGTGTCGTGCTTGCCATAAATCTACATATTCAGTTCTCCCTGAAGACTACAACTGGTACTTAAATGTGCTTTAATATGCGGCCTTTTCATGTGACATTTATTCCAGGGCTGTTTTCTCTGTTGTGAAGTTATCATATAATGGAATCAAATACACCAGTTTTGGATATCCATAATAATTTCAACTAACGTACTGTTTCTGATCATAACAATTATGAAGTCAGCATTTCAAAAAGTAAGCATAATGAAAAATCATGCAGGGCTCATTCTAAACATGGTGCTGACCCCAATACCCCTGCAGTTTTATTTATGAAAATACGTAAAAGCAGTTGTTTTCACTGATGCTTGTTGTTAAGACAAAGTCCAGGTATTTTTGTCTGCTGCATGAGAAAGTTGTGTAGAAACCATGAAAGACAATACAAGTATAATGGCAAACACCAGCATCTGAGTCCTACAAGGTTTTAGGAAGATAATGTGTCATGGGAACAGGAAGGAAGGTGAAAAAAGTCGTATTTCCTCAAGGAACCTCTCGCTAGTGTCTGTTCATCATGCTCGTCATCTTGTACGAAATGTAAAAATTGGAACCCCAAACAGAATTTCCTATTCTTTTTTTGTAAGTGCCGTACTTCTTATAAAGGCATGTTGTCCTAGACATCATCTTTCCCCATTTGTTGATACAGTTTTACATGTAATTATCTGTAGAGATTTTTTTTCTAACACAGTTACTTTCTTTTAGCCCTTTCTTCCTCTTCATCCAAAAAAGAAACATGAAGATGATGGTGAGGAGGGTAGAAAGGGAAAAGGGGCAGAATAGAGGAGGTTCAGATCAAGTATTTGTGACTGTTAATTTAAAAGGGTTTATTTTATAGAAGATTCTTAAGAATTCATAAATGCAGGGGCAAATCTAGTTTTCTTTGGGACTTGGGCTATTTATTTGTTCAGTGTTTCTGAAAATTGTAAAGTGTATATTTGAGGTTTTATTTTTATAGCAAAGTGGAACTTGCAGTGACATCAGATTTGAAGACAATTGTCTGCTACCACCCGTCGCTTGAGATTCCATATGAGCATACAAAAGTAGGTCCAAATGTATATTTATATTTTGTGCTCTTGTAAAGGCATAAGTAGTTTATAATTTTGAGTCTTGAGGGTATCTTTTTTTCATTTGAAATACTGAGATACTTTTTAGCATGTGATCAGCATGTCTGTGAAGTTAGTGAACAATTAATGTAGCTGCTGCCATGAGGACCTTGTTCTTAGGTGAATTGAGGGAAAGTGGCAGAGAAAGAAATGCTCAGATAGCACAGCCTATAGTAACTCAAATAGAAATACATGAGGCACTCAGATACTTGTGCACTTCAGAGAAAACTAGTGTCTGTATGAGTGTACTCCTCAGGAGGATGTTTGGAATGCAGGTTTTAGTTCACCTGTCCTGATGTACAGATGCTGCAGTCTGGGCAAGAGAATATAACAAAGTGCTGCTGTTTTCAACTCAAACTTTGAATTCTCTTCAGTACTCTTGGTTTATAAACACTACAAAAAAACTTTATAAATATCAAATTTTTATCTATCAGCAGTACTTACAGTGTGTTCTTTACACAGATAAAAGTAAGTTTAGAAAAGCTTTTCTAGTGTATACTATTTGTTTCAATTTCCAGTTCTCATGCTAGTAAAACAGTACAAATGGTAGCCATGTTGCTGAAGTACCCAATGTAAAAATTCTCCATTGAAAACCTAAGACATTTTAGCACTCTTTGCCGGCAAGTTATATACCAGTATTTTTAAATGTATCAGTTGCATATATCTCAGGAAAAGACTAAACCAAGGAAAAATGCTTGTAATGGTGCTAGGAGTTAGGTTTCAGGTTGAGAACAAACATCTCGGTCTTAGCAGATGCACAAACAATTAGGAAGTGATATTCTTCTCCAAGGTACACATCATGTAAAAGCTTTTTTAGTGATGATGTTTATCACTATGAATAAATTTCTAAATAGAAATAATATGAATACTTTTGGATTAGTAGAAGTGAAGCTTTTGAGTCCGCAGGTGAATTTTAAGGGTCAAGTTAGCAGTAATGATGACAGCAGTGCTGATTTTAGGGGTAGTGTAATCAGCTGTAGCACGTGGGGTAATCAGTTTTCTAGACATCTGCTCCACATTGGTGCTTTGGTTGGGTGGGTGGGGGGTGGTGAACAGCTTTTACAATTGCAGGCATTTTTCTGTATGCCTTTGGCTTCAGCTGTCAAGAGTAATGCTATCTGTGTAGCTTGGTTTTTGATTTTTCTCAGAAAAGGGAAATATATATACACTACTGTTTTTATAGCCCATACCACGGCCAGATCCAGTGAATAATAAAGAAGAAAACCTCGATCAAGTTTTGAAATCCAGATTGAATGAAAAAGAGCTAAAGAATGATGAAGGTCCTACAATCGAAGAGCTCAGCAAAATGTTTTACACAACAAAACATCGCTGGTATCCTGTGGGACAGTAAGTATTCTCAATGTTTCTTCCTTTTGGAGGTAAAGGGAAATAGAGGAATAACTTAATGACTAGATTCAGTGTCGGGTAAGTCATATGAGACAGGATACTGTTAGTGCATGGGCTATTGCATAAAATCTTAAATGCAGCATTGTGTAAATGGAAAACTGTATTCCATAAGGGTTTTTTAATGCTGCCCTTTTGGCAGCCTTTGCCACTTTGAAAGATGTCACAGAGGAGAAATTTCTCATACCATCTAGTTAATTACTAGTTCAGGCGGTTATCAAAGTTGCATAAAAGAATCTAGTAGGTAAAACACCGTCAATGGACATGAGCGGACACAGCCTGGAAACTTGCACTGTCTATTTCTTAATGACTTTTCAGGAAAAAAAAAAAAATTAATAGGCCAGTTCTCAGACTCAAGAATAGTAGAGATTTCCCATTTGAATGGTGAAAGTTGCACCTCTGTGTGCCTTGTATTCAGAAAGCTGGGAGGAGGAGAGCTGCAAAGGTGCATGACAGCTTAAAGAGGAACTATATACACTCAGGTAGGCCCATGAATATACCCAACATCCTGGTTTGTGTTACTTCTTCCCAGTTTCCTACTACATCTTTTGGTAGTTGCTAATTTCATAGCTGTGGAGGCTTGATACAGGCAGAATATATGTTTGGGTTTTTTTTTAATCCCCAGAATACTTTTAATTATTGTGCTTTGGGGGTAGATAAAATGAATGAAATGGTAGAACTTTCTATGGCCAAAGGGTATCTGTCACCTTAATGAGCATCAAACAGGGTCTCCCTTGATTTAGGGTGGGTAATTAAGAGGGAAAAGTAGGGATGATTTTTTTGTTGTCAGAATTTGTTTTTTAGTTTGTCTGCAAAATATTACACTATTTAATGTACAGTCTGGCACCACTCCTTTACACATCAAGTCTCTTTGTTCTGTAGCAATCGCTTTAGCCAGAGGAAAAGCTGATGGTGTAATAAAACTAACTTCAGACAAAGGATTAAGAATAATAAACAGCAGTCTTTGTACCTATTCAGCTGTAGAACTGACTGAATTATTGCATGTTTGTAGCAGACGTAGCAATAGAAATGATCAGCATTATGTAACTCCACAAACAACAGAGATGACATCTAATGAGTGGTGGATAGGCTGTGCTTGTGTAACTTGTGTTTTACATGTCTAACCTGAGATCACTTGCTGGGGGTGAAAGCATGAGGGAAATCCAAGACTGTCCAAAGCTTTCATTCACTGCAGCCTTTTTTTCTTCTAGGTATCATAGAAGACGCAGGAATCCTAATCCTCCCAAAGACCGATAACTGGGACAACTTCTTGTTCATAAGCACATTACTAGTAATCTTTACTGGAAATAAAAATTACGGAAAGTGAGATGTTCGGCAGTTCTGTGCAAGTGCTGTAACAAAAACATGCTTAGCTAAATTTGATTCTTCTACTTCAGCAAGTTGACAGAAAAACGACAAAACTGCACGAATGAAGCAAGGGTTCAGTGATGGCTGTTGTACGAGCATGGTCAGCCAATGACCTAGTCTTAGAGCTGGATGCAGCAGGTGATGGAGTGCTCTGATTAAACTTGGTCAGAGGCTTATCATTGGTAAAGTGAATGCATAGAAGCCTTGTGTCAGAATGGGAAGTCCAGAACTGGACACATTAGGGTTTGGTGTTATTCCGGGAGGATATTTATGTTTTTAGAAATCTAGTAACTGAAATGCAGGTAAGCTTGAACACTGAGGTCTTAAGGAGTATTGATAAAAAGTATTATATGAGGTATTTATGAAAAGAGTGAAAAAATAGTTTTGCTGCTTCTATTATACTTGCAAGATATCTGATTCCATGTTTAATCCAACATCAGCCAAGTGATTGTATTTAAGGCTTATTGTCAGGTACTGGAAACTGGCCAACTTGGTTACGTATTAGCATCCAAGGCATAACAACTTGCCTTTCTAAATCACCCAGGAATCCCAAATAGCTGAGAGAACGTCTGTGTGTATTCATAGTTTGGGGCAGGGAGTTGCTGGGTTTGTGTTTTATACCCCACCCTGTTTACCATTCAGTGAGGATGCTGTGTTCCTATGGAAATCAGAATAGCTGTAGCTCAGCGGAGGAAAAGTTCTTTGCCTCAGCAAGGTAATCAGTGAAGACTCCCAGCTCTTTCTCGCTGATGCGGGGGAAGGATTTGCCCTTTATGACATAAAATGCTTTAAATTAAAAAAGTTTTTGTTTTATTCTACTTCATAGCTTTAGCAATTTGTAGTGCATAAATGTCTCTGCTATTATAATATTTTGTCATCTAGCCTTTTATTTTCCTCAGGAAAATGAGATTCTTTACTCTGGTCTACAGTTTTAGGCATCAGCCTTCAGATAGAAAGGGTCAGCTTGGAACATTATTTATAAGCAGATCCTTATAAATAATCAGAAAATAATTATCCCATGTATGTCATACATTTTGATTGTATTTTCTTTCCAAAGCAACTTGGATAATCTAGGAAGGTTCTTGTTTCTTTGCTTTAGTCTAGTGTCATTTTACCAGCATGTGTTGTCTCCAGGTTCTGCTACAAGTTGAGTACTATATAGTCTCTCATCTTGGTCATTGTTACTCTAAAGAACACTTACTTTCTAAAGTTACTACTGAATAACCTTTTTTCCCTGAATTTCCTGTAACGGGGAGGGATGAGAGAAGGCAGTGTTGGGTGTGTGTAAAAGCCTCCCTTTAAATGCTTCTGGAAAATTGTACATGAAGCTAGTCTAAGTCGTTATGTTGGTATTATTTTTAAAAATGCATTTTTAAATCCAAGTGACAGTTTAGCTGATAGTGGTTTATGATGGCAAAGCATGGAATAGTTTTGTTTATTCTCTGTTATGTTTGTAAGATATCCGAGTCCATGTTTAAGCCTCCATCAGCCAAGCAATTTTGGCTCTGTGTTATATGATGTGTTGCTCACATGATAACATGCTATCATGAAGGAATGTCTGTTGTGTCTGTGAGAAGGATCACTGCTTACTCTGCAAGTTCAGACATGTCAAAATACTTATTTTTTTCTGCTTAAAATATAACTTTAAAAATAGTTTTTAGTAATTTGTAGTACAAAAAATTTTAGTATTTTGATCGATTCATGGTACTGACACTGGTCCATATGTGAGCAGCTTCCATCTCATACTTACTGTTTCATTCATGTCCCACTGTATAAAAATTAAGCCCCCTTTATTTTTTGAAAGCTGAGACCTGATTTGTCACCACTTGACTTTACTCCAGCATAAGAAAAAGACATCCTTGGACTAATTTAAACTTTGAATTATTTCCCCCCCTTCTTCTCCCTGATACTTTGTCTTAGTGCTGTGTAATACTATTAAGACATTTTGCTTTACAGAAACCTCCTGTTATCACATTTGTCTGTTCTTGCCTGTCAGACCCTGTTTATGATCAAAAATCCACAATCACTGTAGAAATGTTGGATTTCTCAATGTTTCCCAGACATTTTTGGATGCTTTTCAGATATTTTGAGGGCTTAAAACCTATGATGTGCTGGGCTGCTATTTTAAAGTACTTCCTCTTCTGACCAGTTACTGCAGACAGAGTCTAAAACACTTTCACTGTATGTACCCTCTGCCACTTTGTTACTACATTAATTCATAAAATTGATACTTCAAAATCTCTCCCTATCTCATGCTGCCACTCTAAATCTTTCTATGATCTCTTCCACTAATCTTTCTCCTGGGTCATCTGAAGCATGACCTAATAAAAATCCAGCTCTCACAGTAATTCCAAGCTGTCCTCCTGTTTTTCTAGATATTGAACAACTATGTAAAACTGTCTTTATCTGTTTCAGTTCATTTAAAAACTTAGACTTAGAAATTCATCTATTTAATTCTTGTCCCATTTCTATGTGAAAGGATAATCCATTTGAAAATTAGTTTGGGCTGTTTTCTGTTGCACTTGTTAGTTAATTGAAAACCTTAGTTGCCTAGAATATACAGTGTTAAGTCTGCTTTGGTGTCTCTGTAGCCAATTTTAGGCACTTAGCCATTTGTTTTGTATCTAGTAGTTACCAAGTGTTTCAGACCTTACTAGGCTCATTGCTATTGGTAGTACAAAGTTTGGTATGTCTTACTGATTTTTTATTTTTTTTTTAATAATATCGATTCAGACCATTAAAATTGCAGTTCAATCCTAATGAAAAGAAAGGTCTTTCACTTTCTTTAGTTAGACTTGAATTTAAAAAAAGGAAGCATGCTTTTAAAGCAGGTTTTTGCCTTTTTTCCTATGTGCAAATTATGTTGTTCTGCAGATGCTTGGGACTACCACCAGGAGGCAATCTTGAACAGTTACTCAACTGGATTTGTCTGAAACCAAACAGGATTTAGGTATGTCATCAAATTTAACACTGTGAGTGACATACATTAGCCGTTCTTTAAATTTGTAAGTATTTAAGAAAAAGGAACTCCCTAGCAAGTCTGAAAGTGGTTGGATTCAAAGGTTCAAGGGTTCTTTTGTGAGATTTGCCTGTTATGTCTGCAGCATGTGGCAGAGATGTATGTTCAAAAAAAAAAAAAAAGGCGACCCTGCCAGTTTTGAAAACAATGGTGGGGTGTAACAGGACCCAGCTGCCAAATACACCTGTGTTACAAGTTTAATGTCTTTATGCTTCAGCTCCTTGTGATGATTAATGGAGGGAGGAATAGTCCGTCCATCCCTTCCCACCCCTCCAGTTACTCAGTCCTATAGGAAAGTTCACTTCTTGTCCCTGTACTGTTGTAGTGGGTCTGAATTTCAGCTGCTATGTCTAAATTCTGCTGTACTAGAACAAATTGCTGCAGTAGGTCTGTTACAGGTCACAGTAATGACTGATATTTAAAGCCAACACTGCATTTCCCAGTTATCGCAGTTTTTACAAATTTTAGCAGCTGCTCAGCTGTAATTTGACGTCCATTCCACCCTCAAAAGCAGTACAAAGTTATATAATGAAGAGATCAAACAGGTGTGGACTGCATTCCTCTTCCGTAATAGAGGTTTGTTTTAATGCTGTAATATAATAAAACTGCTTAAAGCAAGCTCACCAATCACTAAAATAAACATCGGACAAATTGTGTGCCTACCATAAATATAAGTTGGATTCATCTGTAAGATTGAGACGGCTACTAATTAGACCTCTAGGCCTGAGTTAGTCTTTGTAGGCTACCTTTATAGTCAATTGACAGGGGAAAATAAAATACCTACCCAGGGCAGTTGATCTTTAAGATTTTATTACCTAGAATGTCACACAGATAGTTCTCTGGAGGTGCTTTCTCATCTATGAACAGGGAATGAAACTTAGTTGAGGGTGATATGCCTGCATCAGAACAATGAAAGCAGTTTGACTTTTTTATCATATATGTAAAAGAAAAATACTGATCTTAAGGCAACAATGCTGCTCCTGCTAGCCTTCAATAGCATGTAGTCCATGCATAGGCACTCTGTTTTCTCTGCATCGTTTACATGTTTTTACTGCATAGAGCAATTCACACACATAATTTGTAACTTTGAATAAATTGTATATAGGATTTTAATCTCACCTCTTTATCTTTCAGCATTGGAGGGTTGATTAAATATAATACTTAAGATGTTGTTTCATTCAGTGTGTAGTCAGAGGAGAAGTAAGATAGTTACGTGTTTTACAGCACCTCTTCTAATGAGCTCATGATCACAACTGTTACCTCTAGGTACTTCTAGAAAAGTGAACACAACAAATGATAATGTACTGGGCAACATGCACAGAATTATCTGAAAATTTAAATACTGTTTACACAGCCTATTAGTTCCACTGTATATAAATACAGCTGATAGGATACTGCACTTTTATTAAGTGTCTTGATGTAGGTGAGAAATGATAGTCAAGGTATCACAGAGTTTTTCATTACTTGGAGGCACCACAGGAGGTTGGAATGACCAGTGGAACTGACAAAATTTGCCAGCTAATCCTTCTGAAAAATCAAATAAGTAATGAATATGGAAAACAGTTGTGCTTATATCCAGCTTTACTGCTTGTCAAGATGGAAAACAGTCTTGGGCCAGAGGCATTTTACTGCTTTAAATATGGCCAGTTTTGACTACTACCAAAGTTTACAATTCCCCAGCAAAGGAATCTCCCTACCAGCAAAATAGGAGTATCATGGGGGGGGGGAATCTGGAAGAGCTGTTTTTTAGCTTCTCCTCTGCCAAAACTAGTAGAAGTTTAACTATGTAAGTATCACAGAATATTTAAATGAGTGATGAAAAGGGACTTAAACTAGGCTACCACATTAAGCCATTATCATGTAGAACAAAAATTAACTGAAATAAAAGATTAAACTATTAAAGCATGACTCTATTGTACAAACATCTATTTCCTACTAGA